TTTAAGCCACTGGGTCCGGGACTCGAACCGTGGTCAACTACGTGAGAGTCCAGCAACATAGCCATTACGCTAACTGCTGGTTCCCGCTACTGTAGGTCTTCATTCCGTATTTCACCCCCAGTCTCAGCCACCCTGTATCATGGCTGCTTCTGTACCCTGTGCACGCAGGGAGGTCACAGGAGGCAAACCCAGGACCTGCCCCCATGTCATTCTTATACTTGTCAGTAAGCTTGAAGCAATTTCCTTTACAATTTTCTATAATGCCACCATGGTGGCATGGTGGAGGCAGCTGGATCTCACATGCTTGATGGCATGGGTCAAGTCCCAGATTCAACGGCTCAAAAAATACTCTGGGCATGGGACCAGCAGATGGCATAGTGGTTACATCATTGGAATACCAAATAGTGGACCATGGTTTGAGTTCCGGACCCGGTGGCTTGAAACTCACTCTAGGTGTATGTGCGTGTGTGCCCAGGATCCTGGGAGAACAGAGGAGAAGGGATTGCAGCATGAGCATGGCCGTTCCCCAGGGGGGTGATTTCTCACTTACTCTCTCACTGTCTCTGTTTCTCTCTCCAGCGAGTGTACACACCCTATGCAAAAACTTCTTAAAAACAAAACAAAACTTGTTGGCCACATGTGTATGCATGCCCAAAATCCTGAAAGGAGAAATGGAGGAGAAGGGATTGTGGCATGGCCATTGCCCACGGGGAGTGCTTTTGCACTTGCCCTCTCTTTCTCTCCCTTGCCCTTTCTAGAGGGAGGGAGGGAGGGAGGGAGGGAGAGAGAGAGAGAGAGAGAGAGAGAGAGAGAGAGAGAGAGAGAAAGAAGAAGAAGAAGAAAGGAAGGAAGGAAGGAAGGAAGGAAGGAAGGAAGGAAGGAAGGAAGGAAGGAAGAAAGAAAGAAAGAGAGAGGAAGAAAAGAAAAGGCCCCTTCTGTTGAGGTCACCAAGCTGCAGGTTGAGGGTCACAGGGTGAGGGGCAAGTAGTAAATGAATCTAGAAAGTTCCAGTGATAGTGTTGACACTAAAAGAAAGTGGGCACCTGGTGTTGGGGTGTCGAGAGGGTAGATGACTCTAGAAAAGAAAGAGCTAGTCCCAAACAAGGGGAGAGGCCTGCTAATGATGAGCCGTGAGACCAGGAGTGTCAGAGGCTGGTTGGGCCCAGGGGTGCCTCTGGGGCAATAAATGTCCGTTCCTCACAGGACGAGAAGAGCTGGAGGTGGTGGAGAGAGGCTGTGCCCACCCAGAGAAGACCAACAGGACCATGAGCTACAGGGTGGGCATGCAGATCATCACCCTGACGGAGTCCGTGTGTGCCTTCAACTTCTGCAACCGACCCAGCCCTGGTGAGTAGGGCAACGTTCGGATCCCCAACCCCAGTCCATCCCCAGCTCGACCTTATAATCCTCCTGATCCTACACCGCCTGCCCCAACTCGGTCTTCCCCAGTACCAACCCCCGCTCAAACCCATCCCCAGGCCAACCGCAAGTCAAGCTTGCCTCCGATGCCAACCCCAACTTCACGTCACCTCAGCACAGCCTCCATCTCAAACCAAACGCAGCTCTAACCCCATTCCCAGATCAAATCCATCCTCATCTCACAGTAGCCCTGGCTACAGATTTATCCCCGTCTCCAGCCCTGTCCCCATGCCACACATTCACACGTAGGGCAGCTGTGTATTAGGTGCAGCTGCTGCCTCTTGAGAAGGAGGTGCGCTGTCTCCCTGGTGTTCCTCCTCTCATTTTCCCATGGGGACGGAGATGGTCCGCGATGCTAAGGGGCCAAGATACATGTAGACACTCCAGGTTCTGAAGGGACATCAAAGAGAAGAGCCTGGCATGGGCCACAGAGGACCGGGAACATGCCCTGGAATAGATAGGTTTTTTTTTAGAAGAGGGTGGCATGGACCACAGGGGACCGGGAACATGCCCTGGAATAGATAGTTTTTTTTTGTTTTTTGGTTTTTTGTTTTTTGTTTTTTTTTTTGAGAGGTTTTTGCTATAGGCACGTGCACTTGCCAGACAGATAAACAGAGACAGAGAGACAGACAGCGAGAAATCACCCCCCAAGAGGATGGTCACGCCGCAGTCCCTTCTGGTGGCATGGACCACAGGGGACCGGGAACATGCCCTGGAATAGATAGTTTTTTTTTGTTTTTTGGTTTTTTGTTTTTTGTTTTTTTTTTTGAGAGGTTTTTGCTATAGGCACGTGCACTTGCCAGACAGATAAACAGAGACAGAGAGACAGACAGCGAGAAATCACCCCCCAAGAGGATGGTCACGCCGCAGTCCCTTCTGCATTCTCCTCTCGGGATCTTGGGCACGCACGCACACGCGCTGGTGTGAGTTCTAAGCCACTGGATCCAGGACGTGAACCGCGGTCGACTACGTGGGAGTCCAGCGACATAGGCATTACGCTAACTGCTGGTCCCAGGAATAGGTAGTTCTTGACATAGGCAGTGAAAAACAAGATGTGAAGAAATTCCCCGGAGCCTTTTTGTTATTTTATGGCATTAGGCTTTGGTCAGTTTAAGAAAAAGACTGAAGAAGGTTTGACTCCTCCCAAATCCCCACAGGAAGAGGAAGGGTGGGGAACGAACGATGCGTGTTCCGTGGTCAGCAGAGGTTCCTTTTCTGGCCCTGGTGAGGAAAGATGTTTGACGCACATGTGGCCTCAGCGCAGGCCGGTCCAGACACAGTCACGTCAGCAGACAGGGCATTCACGTTTCCACTGCATTTTCCCTGCTTTTCATTCATTCGGGTCCTGCCGGATTTACATCCACTCTAACCGCAGACTTTCCTTTGCTGCTGGGGCTGAATCAGACGTTTACATTTAAGGAAGTGGAAAGAGAGGACTTCCCTCTCAGTTACGTGTCCTTAAGGAACTCTCTCATACTTGGGTCTAAGGAACGCATCTAATCAGAGGTGATGGTCAAAGCTTTTAAGGAAATTGGTCAAGGCCAGAGTAGGGTCCTAGAGGCTCTCTGATGGGTCACAGGGACATGGGTCTGGGGAGAGAGTGGGGACTGGTCATGGGTCCACAGGGAACTTGAGGCAGTAGCTGTCAATTCAGTAACCTAGTAACGGGAACGCCCACGTCAGTCCCATTTCTAATGCCATCTTATCCTGCTCGTGGCAACTTGAAGAGTTGGTTAAGCTGCATTCTGTACTCACCTGATGCTGGGACACAGCGGTGGCGAAGACAGCCTTGGGCTCTGCCTCCACGGGGCTCACAGTCTAGTCAGCGTCCAGGGAAAGGTGGGGCAGAGGGTGATGGACCCATCACCAGACGGTGGCTGATGGGATGAGTCAGGGCTGGGATAGAGAAAGCATTAGCAGCGTGTCGTGAGAGCTGGAAGAGGCGAAGACCGGCAGTGGGCCCCAGAGGAGGTACCTGACTCAGGTCAGGGAAGGTTTCCTAGAGGAAGCAACATCTACGCTGCATCTTGAGGGATAAGTAGAAGTCAGGTGTTGAAAAGCCAGTGGAAGCGGGACCAGCAGGTGGTGTGGTAGTTAAGGTGCTGGACACTCCCACATGGTTGACCAAGGTTCGAGTCCAGGTCCTGGTGGCTTGCTTTCTCACTTTCCTTCTCTCTCTCTCTTTGTCTCTCTCTGGTCAAATTAAAATAAATGAGTGAATAAATAAAATTTTAAAGAAAAAGAAAAAGAAAAGCCAGTGGAGGGGACCAGCAGGTGACATGGTGGTTAAGGTGCTGGACACTCTTACATGGCCGATCACAGTTCGAGTCCCATACCTGGAGGCTTACTTTCTCACTTTCTCTCTCTCTCTTTAGGAAGGAAGGAAGGAAGGAAGGAAGGAAGGAAGGAAGGAAGGAAGGAAGGAAGAAAGAAAGAAAGAGAGAGGAAGAAAAGAAAAGGCCCCTTCTGTTGAGGTCACCAAGCTGCAGGTTGAGGGTCACAGGGTGAGGGGCAAGTAGTAAATGAATCTAGAAAGTTCCAGTGATAGTGTTGACACTAAAAGAAAGTGGGCACCTGGTGTTGGGGTGTCGAGAGGGTAGATGACTCTAGAAAAGAAAGAGCTAGTCCCAAACAAGGGGAGAGGCCTGCTAATGATGAGCCGTGAGACCAGGAGTGTCAGAGGCTGGTTGGGCCCAGGGGTGCCTCTGGGGCAATAAATGTCCGTTCCTCACAGGACGAGAAGAGCTGGAGGTGGTGGAGAGAGGCTGTGCCCACCCAGAGAAGACCAACAGGACCATGAGCTACAGGGTGGGCATGCAGATCATCACCCTGACGGAGTCCGTGTGTGCCTTCAACTTCTGCAACCGACCCAGCCCTGGTGAGTAGGGCAACGTTCGGATCCCCAACCCCAGTCCATCCCCAGCTCGACCTTATAATCCTCCTGATCCTACACCGCCTGCCCCAACTCGGTCTTCCCCAGTACCAACCCCCGCTCAAACCCATCCCCAGGCCAACCGCAAGTCAAGCTTGCCTCCGATGCCAACCCCAACTTCACGTCACCTCAGCACAGCCTCCATCTCAAACCAAACGCAGCTCTAACCCCATTCCCAGATCAAATCCATCCTCATCTCACAGTAGCCCTGGCTACAGATTTATCCCCGTCTCCAGCCCTGTCCCCATGCCACACATTCACACGTAGGGCAGCTGTGTATTAGGTGCAGCTGCTGCCTCTTGAGAAGGAGGTGCGCTGTCTCCCTGGTGTTCCTCCTCTCATTTTCCCATGGGGACGGAGATGGTCCGCGATGCTAAGGGGCCAAGATACATGTAGACACTCCAGGTTCTGAAGGGACATCAAAGAGAAGAGGGTGGCATGGACCACAGGGGACCGGGAACATGCCCTGGAATAGATAGTTTTTTTTTGTTTTTTGGTTTTTTGTTTTTTGTTTTTTTTTTTGAGAGGTTTTTGCTATAGGCACGTGCACTTGCCAGACAGATAAACAGAGACAGAGAGACAGACAGCGAGAAATCACCCCCCAAGAGGATGGTCACGCCGCAGTCCCTTCTGCATTCTCCTCTCGGGATCTTGGGCACGCACGCACACGCGCTGGTGTGAGTTCTAAGCCACTGGATCCAGGACGTGAACCGCGGTCGACTACGTGGGAGTCCAGCGACATAGGCATTACGCTAACTGCTGGTCCCAGGAATAGGTAGTTCTTGACATAGGCAGTGAAAAACAAGATGTGAAGAAATTCCCCGGAGCCTTTTTGTTATTTTATGGCATTAGGCTTTGGTCAGTTTAAGAAAAAGACTGAAGAAGGTTTGACTCCTCCCAAATCCCCACAGGAAGAGGAAGGGTGGGGAACGAACGATGCGTGTTCCGTGGTCAGCAGAGGTTCCTTTTCTGGCCCTGGTGAGGAAAGATGTTTGACGCACATGTGGCCTCAGCGCAGGCCGGTCCAGACACAGTCACGTCAGCAGACAGGGCATTCACGTTTCCACTGCATTTTCCCTGCCTTTCATTCATTCGTGTCCTGCCGGATTTACATCCACTCTAACCGCAGACTTTCCTTTGCTGCTGGGGCTGAATCAGACGTTTACATTTAAGGAAGTGGAAAGAGAGGACTTCCCTCTCAGTTACGTGTCCTTAAGGAACTCTCTCATACTTGGGTCTAAGGAACGCATCTAATCAGAGGTGATGGTCAAAGCTTTTAAGGAAATTGGTCAAGGCCAGAGTAGGGTCCTAGAGGCTCTCTGATGGGTCACAGGGACATGGGTCTGGGGAGAGAGTGGGGACTGGTCATGGGTCCACAGGGAACTTGAGGCAGTAGCTGTCAATTCAGTAACCTAGTAACGGGAACGCCCACGTCAGTCCCATTTCTAATGCCATCTTATCCTGCTCGTGGCAACTTGAAGAGTTGGTTAAGCTGCATTCTGTACTCACCTGATGCTGGGACACAGCGGTGGCGAAGACAGCCTTGGGCTCTGCCTCCACGGGGCTCACAGTCTAGTCAGCGTCCAGGGAAAGGTGGGGCAGAGGGTGATGGACCCATCACCAGACGGTGGCTGATGGGATGAGTCAGGGCTGGGATAGAGAAAGCATTAGCAGCGTGTCGTGAGAGCTGGAAGAGGCGAAGACCGGCAGTGGGCCCCAGAGGAGGTACCTGACTCAGGTCAGGGAAGGTTTCCTAGAGGAAGCAACATCTACGCTGCATCTTGAGGGATAAGTAGAAGTCAGGTGTTGAAAAGCCAGTGGAAGCGGGACCAGCAGGTGGTGTGGTAGTTAAGGTGCTGGACACTCCCACATGGTTGACCAAGGTTCGAGTCCAGGTCCTGGTGGCTTGCTTTCTCACTTTCCTTCTCTCTCTCTCTTTGTCTCTCTCTGGTCAAATTAAAATAAATGAGTGAATAAATAAAATTTTAAAGAAAAA